CTATAGTTTTAAAATAAAGTTAAGGGAAAAGGAAATTAGCAAATGTGAGAACATGATATACTCTGACTACAAAAAAATCACTTTGGAAAAAAATATATGTATGTGGAACCCATTCACATTTTAGTGTAGACTATTGGTTAAGAATATGGAATCAGATGGTCTGGCTGTACTATTTTCCAGCTTTTAAGTGTGGATAAATGACTTCATCACTGTATTTTTTTTTCATGTGTAAAATGGGTGTGGTGCAGATTAAATAAGTAATAAATATATAATACTGGGGACAATATATGATCCATAGCAAATGATCAGTGAACAGTGTATTATTTTTCATATGTCGTCAGCAGCCCACACAGGCCCTGCTTGAAAGACAGAGGACTCTCTCTTCATGGAAAGCTGGCACCTTGTTGTCAAGACTCAGAGACTAAGCCTGAAGGCAGCCTTCAGTGACAGCAGAGACAAGGAGGGCCAATGCAAGACTGGGGTGCTCAATTATGGCGAGAACAGGGTCAGTCAATGGTGCAGACTGTGGTCCAAAGACCTGACACGACTGTATACAGTGGACTCTCACAGCTCCAAAGCAGCACTACCAGGGGCACCCAGCCCATCCGGATTACAGATGGGGCAGCCCTGGGGTCTTCAACTATCTCTGTAACTAAACTGAAAGGCGAGAATGCTCTGCATTTCTATTCTCATATAATTTATCTTTCAGCCTATTGTTTCCTCTATTAATCATAAAACTTCAATTAGTTGTGCATCTGCTACTTTTCTTATATATTTTATTTTTTAAATTATTTTTTCATTTTTCTTTTTGAGACAGGATCTCGCTATGTGTTTCAGGCTGGTTGTGGGCTCACTTTGCAGCCCAAGCTGGTCTTGAACTTGGAACGATCCTCCTGCCTCAGCCTCCTGAGTGCTGGGATTACATGAGGGTGCCACCACGCCCAACTGATATATTACTTTGGAGAAAAGAATCATAATTTCCGAATAAAGTGCACATGTCTCAGAGTTTTATATCCCTGAACTCAAATGGATGTCTCCACAACTAAAAATTACACCTGCTAACAACTGAAAATAAAGTCATGTTTTTATTAAAAATCCTATGACAAGAACTTCAAAGAAATGCCAAATTGGATCAAATCAGTGGCTCATTCCACCAACATGGTCTATGATGGTTGCTCACAAATAAGGTTTATGAGTCTGATAACACCCATCTTACACTGGAATGTCCAAGCATCAGTTCTTTAGCTCAATGTTATAAATTCTTCTAACTGTCCCTTCTTTATTCTATGGAGCTGTTCAGTTAACTTCTAATTTTATCAAATTCCCAAAGAAAGGGCTCCATAAAGGAAACCTGATTGGCATTAAGCTCAGTGGATAGCAGGATGTAAATGGCATTAAAAAATTTATGTATTAATTCTGGATGTATGTTCCCTTGCTCAACAGCTGTCCTGAACACACAGTAACTACCTACTTGACCAAACAACTTAAAAATGTAAAAGAAAGAAAAAAGCAAGAATTTGTAGAAGATAAATTTCCTTATTCATTAGGAAGACACGGTGATCAAATTAATAAGCATTCTAATTTATTCTGTCTTATTCTCTATATTCCGTCCTTTTATTATATCTGCCAATTATGATAATCAATTTAATGAACAGAAAAGATTACAAATTTTTGTTACAATTTCTGCCAATAATTTTTAGAATTAGCCACTTTTTTTTTTTTTGCTAGTGGTACTTTATAAAAATGATAAACTTTATAAAACTTTCTTTGTTTTTTGTCCTTTTCGTTTTTACCAGTACCAGGGATCAAACTCATGACTGCCTGCTTGCAAGGCAGGTGCTTATGCCGCTGAGCTAAATCCCCAGCCCCTACAAAACCTTCTTGACATTAAAACAACCATATGGAATCAACAGAATCTAGAGTCAAGTTTCCATTTTACAGAGAGGTTAGGTGATTTCTCAAAATCACAGAACTGATTAATGACAGAGTAAGTTCCTAGATATCTGTGGCCAAGTAAAATTTTAAAAAGCATTCCAAGGGGCCAGGAATACAGCTCGGTGGCACAGCACTTGCCTGACAAGTACGAAGTCATGAGTTTGATTCCCGGTACCAAAAAGTAAGCAAACAAACAAAAGCACCCCAGGGATCCCCAAATAGAGTTGCCAATTTTGTTATTTTTCAAGTAAAGAAAAAAAATAACTTCTACCTACTATTGCTGACATACACACTCATCTTTTACTATACTACATTAGGAAAAATCATAATAGAAGAAAATGTAGCTCTTAAATTAATAAAACAAGCACCATGAAAATTTCACTACATTTTACTCATTTTTTCATTTTGCTGTGGGACTGGTGAGAATTCTTCTGGTCCAGAACTAGTTTTTAGACAATACAATACCTGGAAGTCATTCCCCCTTTTGTGCTATTTTAAAATTCGTATTAGTTCTTCCATGTCTTTTCCCATTTATATTTCACCATTTTTAAGAGGAAACCAATAAATTGTGGGTGGCTTTTTGTTGTTATTGTTTGCTGTTGTTGTTATTGTCATTGTTTTCTCCTGAGGCCCAGAGATGTAGTTCAGTGGTAAAGCCTAGCATGTGTGGATCCTGGGTCTGATCTCCAGTACTATCAAAAAAAAAAAAGTTTTTCTCTTTGACAGATGCTCTTTTCTAGTAGTATAACAGAATGATAAGTACCATAAATTTCATATCATCAGAACCCAGAGCTGTTGACTAAGCATGACTCAAGTGAAGGCAAGCAGGGATTCAGGAAATACAGAGGTAACACAGTGCCTACCATGACACACTGCCCCCACATTACGTCTGTAAAAAGAGCAGGAAAAATATTTCACTGTGTCGTCTCTTTCCTTGCTCCAATTTCAGACTTATCCAAAAGAATGCATTAGCACAATGACTGCCGTCTCAGAAAGGTGCTATGCCATATCTGTCCTTACCTACCAAAGGTATATTCTTATGCCTCCTCCCAGACTGGTTTGTAGTCTGCTGGAAGTTCCCAATCCTTATGTGACAAATAGATATCCAATTTTATAAGAGCTTACGGTCAATCTGCCATTGTATTCCACATACAACTTGTGTTTACACATGAAAAAGCGTAACTGTCAAATCCTACTCAATAATCATGGTCAAAGCATGGTCTTCTGTTATATGTGGTCTCCTATGACTTCTTCAGCTTTGGGAAGGAACTATATGAAAGTGAAAGATAAAGGGAATATCCAGCCATGTGCACAACCAAACAAATCAAACTCCATGACCAGTGTCACAGCAACACCATCCCTGCTCCCACCCTGCAACTCATCCCCTGTGGACGTTTTGTCAAAAAAAAAGTCCCTTGTATGGATTGAAATGTTAAATACAGATGGTGCCACATTCCCTAAGGACTGTCAAACTAGTAGGTTTTCAGCTATTACTTTAATATAAACA